CTGCAACCATCCTCAGAAAGCCTGAGTCCCCTGATGTTGGTAGGACTTTTGGGCCCCATGTGAGGTGAGGAAGGATGGTTTGATATTAGACATCGCTATAGTGTTATGCTTTCAGAGTCATGAATGGGATGGAGAAGTGGGTCTGGGGAGGTGATGCTGGGTCTGAGCAATTATCTCTGCTTTTGGGTAGGAGCGATACCACAAGAGGAGACAGCAAGCAGAAAGGTGCTCGCAGGAAGACCAGTGAGCTGGTCACAGACACCGAGATCAAGCAAGCAGGGAAAATGGGGTTTGTGGGAGAGATAACTGATAAAAAGGTACGGGCAGGAGATGCTGGGCATTTTGGCAGATGTAAGTGCAGTTAGATGGAGAGATGAAGGTGTTGCTGACCTGGAAAGAAGACAGGCTGGCCACGGCTGAAGGACAGCATTTGGTTGCTATTTGAGAAGCAGAAATAGTTCCCCTCGTCCTGCAATGTGAAAGACTTCACTACCAACCCGTAGATACTCCTCCGGTGTTTCCTTGCCTCAAAGCGTGTGGATGTTCTCTTAATCCCCTCAAAGGTGGTCTGGGACATGGAAGAGATGTGGACGATGAAGTGAAGGGTCCCACCCTTGTCCTGGCGGACCCAGGATACGCCACTGTCCTCTTTGAACGTCACACATTCCAGCTCCAACCGTTGTCCCAGCTGGGGGTGTTTGGTGCTGCTGTCACGAAACCTGGCTATCACCTCGTCCCTCTGGCCATGGATCCCAGGGCAGCCTGTGGGAGGGAAATCCATGGGGGAACTGCTCAGGAAGAGCCACATCCCCATCTGGTGAAATCTCTTTCTGTATCTGTGGAGTGTGAGTCCAAATGCAATGGTAGGACCGCCCTTTGTGGAGGACTTGAAGGTTTTACTGGAGTCCTTGCTGGGACTGTGCAAGAAGGGTGCTCAGCAATCAGCCAGCCGGGCTTTTTCTGTCCTTCCGAAAAGCCTTTCAGCTGCCTTCTCAGGGACATTACCCCTTCCCAGCTTATCCCAGTTGACTCTCTGAAAACCGTGACCACTAAAGCCCCTTTTTCCCCTTCCCCCTCCTCTCCAGAACCTCTTCTATAACCGGGCTCCTTTCCCGGTGCGCGTGATGCTGCAGCCACCCCTGCGGCTGCCCTACGCTGGCTGAGGGGTTGCTGTCTTTTCCTGCCGAATTACTGAGCAAATCTCAACGCTAGCCTTTTGGGCTTGCTTTTGAAATTTCCCAGTTTCTTGGCTTCAGAGGAAGGGTTTTACTTGCCCCTCCCAGTGAAGGTGATGCACAACCCTGGTCCATACTCACAGAGCCCCAGAGCGAGCAGAAGGAGCAGCGCAGGAGACCCGGCCATCTTCTCCGAGGGGTGGCCGTCCTTGGAGCTGGTGCGGCGGAGCTGAGCTGATCTTTCTCGCTTGACTTGGGAGGCTGTGTCGCTCTTTGGAGAGGATGTGATGTCATCAGGACCTTCTTGGGTAAAGACACAATGTTCAGCATGAACTGACAAATGAGCTGAAAAAATAAGACCTTTGAAGAAACTGAGTTCTAATCCAGAACTTGCGCTCATTTATCGTTATCAGTTTTCAGTGGTGCCTCAGGGGTTTTCCTCGATGACTTCCCCAGGGATTCAGCCTGGCGATGCTCGTGCCTGAAGTAGGAACATGAAGGCAGCGCAGCCTGCTGTCTGCCAGCCCCCTGGGGGTTCTCAGCAGCTCCAGCTCCTCAGAAGTCACAGACAAGCCTGTGCCTTGGCTGCAGGTTCTAGGTTGTGTTTCTTGGTGGTGCTGAGGCTGCCTTTCCTTGTGCACACTCATGGGGTCTCATGCTTATGACAGATCACACCATATTTTCTTTTCCCAGCAAGGTAGACATGGCTCTTTCATGGCATATATCCATAGGTGTTATTTATCTCCAAGCACACATGTTGCTGACATGCAGCTGGGTTCTTCAGGTGTTCAATGGTTCTCTTTGCAATTCTTCTTGCCATTGCTCTGCAAAAGCTGCTTTGTGCAAGGCAGGTGGACTGTGATCTGAAACCCACCCAGAAAGAGCCATTCCCCAGGGCTCCCAAAGCAATGCCTTTTTTTGTTTTGTTTTGTGTTAACAGCTTGCGCTTTTCTTCTCCAACCACAGGCCTTTCCGCCCTGCCAAAAAAGATCTTGCATGCTTCAACAGAGAGGGCCCTTGCTGCTGCCTCCAGGTGACCACTTGCACTTGGGGTTGGGTGCTACTTCCTGGAGCTTTGCACGTACAACAGCAGCAGTTTCACCAGACTGCAAGGCTGGTGTTTTATTTTTCTTTGCCTGGCACTTCCTGGCTATGCTGTGGATTATTTTCCTGTGTGAGCTGTTTTTCTGTTCCTCATTTGCAAGTAAATCTTCCTTTTCCTGGGTATGCCAGAAGCCAGGTGCCGCAGGAAGTGGTCTGCCACTGCTGCTTTGGATGCTTCTTGGGGATGAATTATGGAAAATGATTTAGGAACTGGTGTAATTTCACTGGTCATCATAGCATGTTGGTGAGTGAGGAAGTTTGCTGTTATGGCTGGAGATCCATGGGGCAGCACAGATACAAGGGTTGTTTATGTGTTAGAAGCCATGGAAACAGCTGAGAAAGGTCAGGTAGGAATGAGGGCTTCTACCCAGAAAAAGGTGTTGGGAACATTGACCCAACTGAAGTACATCTACACTATGGCACACAGCGTGGGCGAGAAACAGGAGGAGCTGGAAGCCGTGTAGCATCAGGAAAGCTGTGATAGAGAAGCTGTTGCAGAAATGTGGTGGGATATCTTGCACAACTGGATTGCAACAGTTGAGTGTCTATGGCTCAGAATGAGGGGGAAGGCCAACCAGGCTTTTATTGTGGTGGGAGTGTGTTATAGATCACTCAGCCAGGACAGAGAGGCAGCTGAAACATTCTCTAAGCATCCGGGAGAAGTCTCAGGATCGCTTTCCTTTGTTCTTGTTAGGAACTTCAACTTCCCAGATATCTGCTGGAAATACAACATACAAGAGAGGGAACAGTCCTGGAGTTTCCTCAAATGCATGAAGGATGACTTCCTTACATAGGTGGTGAGCGAACTTGCTGTAGAAGCTGCCTACACAACCCAGTCTTTGTGAGCAGAGAAGGGCTGGTGGGTGATGTGATGGCTGGAGGCCGCCTGGGGCACAGCGATCACAAAATAGTTGAGTTCTCTATTCTTAGAGAAGTGAGGATGGGGAGGAGGGGCAGCAAAACTACCACCCTGGACTTCCACAGGGCAGACTGGGACGGTTGCCAGAGTCCCTGAGGAGACAGCCCTGAAGGTCATAGTCCAGGAAGCCTGGTCAGTCTCCAGGAATGAAGCCTTAAAGGCACAGGAGTGGGCTGTTCCCATGTGCCAGAAGAAGAGATGGAGGCAAAGAAGGCCTGGCTGAGCAGGCCTGGCTGAACAGGGAGGTTTGGCTGCAACTCAGTGGAGAAAAAAAAAGAGAGTTTATGCCCTTTGAAAGAAGGAACAGGCCACACATGATGACTACAAAGATATCGTGAGGCTATGCAGGGAGAAAATTAGAAAGATCAAAGCCCAGCTAGAATTTAATCTGCGTTCTACTGTCGACAAAGAAATGATACTACAAATCCATTAGCAGCCAAAGCAGGGCCAGGGAAAGGTTCCATCTGCTATTAGATGCAGGGGGAAACATGTTATCTAAGGATGAGGAAGAGGCTGAGGTGCTTAATGCATTCTTTGCCTCAGACTTTAGGAATAGGTTCAGTTGTAATCTGGGAATCCAGCCCCCTGAGCTAGAAGGCAGAGACCAGGAGCAGAATGATCCCCCCGCAATGCAGGAAGCGATGATTGGTGACCTGCTGTCCCACGTAGATGCACTCAAGTCTGTGGGACCAGATGGAATCCACCCAAGGGTTCTGGGAGACCTGGACAGAGGTCTCACCAAGCCACTTCCCCTCATTTATCAGC